ACACAACATTTAAACAACACTTCCTTGGTCAAACATATAATGTGACTCTACATAAACTGTATAGTGGACACCCAAACATCACACCCATATGTGCTTACGGAGCATTTCATTTCAAAACCATTGGCAATGGACAAGACATAATCATGAGATGCAAAGAAACGCAACAGTACGCTCTTGACTTTGAAAAGTTCGAGCATATGGTAGCAAGACATAAAAGTGATCTGCAGCTTAGCAAAATATTGAAATGTTGGTCCATTACCTCTTACCCTCCACCCTTTAATGGCTATAAAAGCCAATCACACACCCATTCTCAGCTAATTCAAACACTCATGTTGTCAAAGGCCTTTGTATCCCAAAAGAACAAAATTCTTCCTGTTTGTGTAATAAGAATCTAATCCTCACATCCATTGGGCACAACTTCATCTATGAAACTGTCACCTTTTTCCTAAGTGTAATGCATAAAAAGCACAGATAAAACAACCCTGATGGCAATATTGTAAATACAAATAAAAAATTTTGTTCTTGTGCATCTGTCTGCCTGTAGTCTTGAGTCAGACTTCTTTAATTATACTGGAACTAGTACAATGCTAGTGGCAGACAGCCAATGACATCCACAGCAGAAGAACAGTTCAGCTACAGTACCAAAGTAAAACTAGACGTGGATGACTGAGAGCACAGTTGACAGCACAGTTGCTAGCTAAATTGCTAACCAGATGCTACATAAGGACTACAAATACCACATGGATGTGATTCAGTTTCTCATGTCATGTGCCCTTCAAGTGGAGTCAGAAATGCCATAATCATGAGTTCTGAGCACATGAATAGATGTATTTAATAGGAGGAAACTCAACGAGTTGCCAAGTTGTGATGGAAGGGGTGTTTTGATGCGTGCCAGAAACACTGATGAAACACTGAACCTGTGATGCTCCTAATTCCGAATTGGCAATTCGTTATTGTGAAATGTCTCGCATTCAAGTCAGAAAAAGAATATAGAAGTTACAAAACACAACCAAAGAACAACAAGAGACTGTAAGTTTTCTACACTGAATTGAAAACAATTGTTTCACCTAGTGTAAGATATCTAACAAACCAATTTACTTAGTGAATAACTTTACATTTGTTGTCTAAGCTCTTTTTGTAGGTATTGCCTTAATACTATTATTGAAATTCAGCACAAAAATGTTTTAATAACTTTGTGAAATTACTAATTACCATTTAGAACAGAATTGCGTACAGATACAATACTTCAAGTCGGGAATCACTGATAATTCCAAGTTTCCCACTTGTAAATACAGGCCCCTACCTGGCCAACCCTATGAAAATATTCTTAGTGAACAGTTCTTAAAAGAACATTTTTTTCTCAGTGTGAAGAACATTTTATTGGAAACATTTTTGGTGCAAAAGGAACCATGGAACCATAGATGCCATAGATTTATTTTTAAGATTGTAGTGCGTGAGGTATGTGTGTAATTCATGTTGTTGAACAAAATGCGTAAACCTCATCGATCTCGTCGAAAATTATTATTATAAAAATCCATGGGAAATTCCAAAGGGAACCCTTGGCTAGAAAATGCTAACTCCCTTTAAAGTATTAGTACTATAAACCAAAGAGCTCAATCCTGTAACAGGCATTCCGTACTACTGCATTCATGCAGCGGAATATGGAGGACCAAACCTACAGAAATTAAAAATAAATAAGCAAATAAATAAATAAATGTGTGTATAAATACACGTATTCTTGTTTAAATACATATATAAATAATTAAACGTGTGATGAAAGTAGTCAAATAAATAAAAATGCGGAGTTTTGCGCATCGTGTGTGTGTGTGTGTGTGTGTGCGCGCGCGCGCGCATGTGTGTGTGAGAGAGAGAGAGACAGCGTCCCATCATAGTAGAGTCAGCTGTCTTAACCGCGGCTTGTGTACTGCATCATTTGCACTTGCAAATGTACTTCCATTTTGCCGCGGCTTGTGTCTGTCACGCGACTCTGTTCCCCTTTCGGGCTTGAACTGATGGTAAAACTAA